ACTACTACTAGTAGTAGTACTAGGTAGTACTAGTAGTAGTAGTAAAGTCTAAACTCAGACTAAAGTTGAAAAGAGGGTAAAAACAATGTCAATTATACTGAATTAGAATAAGCAGTGGATATTTAACCATATACGGCAGAGTATCCACTTCCGCTAAATATTGTACCGTACGCCACATTTGATTGTCTAGTATATTTATGACGTCATCAACATTACGTTCGAATCTACGTACGAACATAGCTATCTAGAAAACTTTTAGGTTCAAATCCCATTTATTTCTACACATTTGTAGCCCCGTTTGATCATAGAAGCTATTTTTCGCGAACCACGTTTCTAAAAGAAACCTTTTGAACACGTTCATAATATATACACGTACATAAATATACTAGCCAATCAGAAGTACTGTATGGTAAAATAGCGGAAGTGGATACTCTGCCGTATACGGTTAAATATCCACTGCGATTAGATAACCAGCCTCAATGTCTTTTGGTTTTGTGGCACTGTAGTCAACATCCAGAAAATGTGTAGCAACCCTTAAAAAAAACAGTGCATTATACCATTGCGGCCATACATACACTGTATTATCCAAATCCAGAAGCTTGTATTAAGCAGTAACTGATAGTTAGCTATAACAGTTGCACTAAAATAAAAACAATCATTGTGTATATAGTTAATATACACACAATATGCACCATTTATGCCTGTTCACCCAGACACATTAAATTAATGTTCACAAAACAGTTCAATCATTAATTGCCATGTTAATAATTAATGTCGCAACTATTTTGTACGTGATCCAGTTAGAAAATACCTAGAAATGTTGCTGTGCTGTGATGGTTAACGATATTCATTCTCTCGCACAAAGCCAGTTGTTGATGAAAACATTGGTGTCAATGCTGTAATGAATAAAAATTTACAATTGATGTCTTTTCTTGTTGAATTTGTATAGAGTGCTGATGTAAGGATTTTGCTTTCACTTTCAGGTTATTGCCTTTGATGAACTGAAAACGGACTACAAGAATCCTATTGACCAATGCAACAGTTTAAATCCAGTATGTTTATAATTTTAGATTTACAGTGTTTCCCCTGGCCAAAAAAAGGTCTGTGAGGTGGTCAATTTTTTGTGTTTGCGCATTTCGAGGTCCTAGCAAAGTGAGCACAGCTAGGGGGGTCCAGGGGCATGACCCCCGGAATTTTTTGAAAAATGGTGCAATTTGGTGCATTCTAAGTGATTTTTGTCAGCGAGGTGGTGTTTTGGACAAATTTATGTGTGGCGGCTGAGAATTTGAGCGAGGCGGTGCGCCTCGCTCGTGTCAATGCAGGGGAAACACTGATTTATTCATTTTGTCTATAGCAGATTATTTTGTTGTTCTGGCTTATTATGTAACTAAGTCCCACAGCAACTGTGTTACTTTTGTTCGTATAACAAGATTTTGTCTTACATGGTGAGGTTAGGGTCATTGTGTAACTGGGTTATTGTCTTTGTTCCATTAATGATATGTTAAATGCATATTATATTTTTCATGTGATTACAAGGTAAGCAATATTGATTAATAGGTAATTCCAACATATCTATTAATCATCTATTTTTTATCCTTTTCAGTTGGTGTTACCAGAATACATAATTCATCTATTCTTCAATCTTCTATTCTTATTTGCTGGAGAATGGTTCACTATAATACTTAACATACCTCTCATTGCATACCATGTACACAGGTAGGTAACTATTAATATTTAAGTGTGTGTGCGTGTGTGCATGTGTGTGTGTACGTATGTGTCTGTATATATATATATATATATATTACTTGTTGCTCAAAATAGGGGAAAAATACTCTTACAAGTGCTTATTGCTAACCATCTAGAGAGCACTGTAATCCATAGATATATGTCTCATACTGAAAGTTGAAATCACATATATACATGCCCATACATACATCTGTTTACTGTCAGAAGTTGTTGTATTTGTTTAGTCTGGCAAGGACACTGCAGTGGATAGTATTTACATTTAAATGCTACTGGTATATTTGGGTAATACTTTCCCACATGAAGATACAGGAGAGTGATGGGAGAATAAAATCTCCCTTTGTCTGTAACACAATTAAAATAACGGCAGTTACAAAGAATTAATGAACAAGAATTATTGCTGGGCGAGTCCTTCCGTTAGCCTATGTCCTTCAGGCATCCTCTCAGTAAGATTCTCTGATGCTTTGTGGCATTGCAAACTTTGGCAGTCGATGGGAGGAGGTACAATAACGTACCGAGCATGTGAACGTCTGTTTAAGCATGGCTATTATCGGCAGGTACTTGCACAGACCCGTCATGAGTGGGCCAGGTTTATACGACCCAACGACGATTATGAATGCAGACGAACTCTCCAGGTGCCAGCGAGAGGGTTGGGTAAAGATGGGCTTCTACTTGCTGTCGTTCTTTTACTATCTGTACAGGTAAGACATAGTCGGCAAAAGCGCAGGGTAGCAGCAGACGCTACATTGGCGTAGCTCTGCTTTGTCAGTATGCACAATGCAGTGGCGGATCTAAAGGGGGGGGGGGGGGGGAAAACCCCCCCCCCCTTCAGCCACTGACTAATGTTATGATACTAGTAAAATGGAGGGCACCCTAGCACCGCTTGCCTTCAGCACACCTTCACTCAAATATCACCCCCCTCCCCCCTCACCTCCTGAAAGCTAGAGCCGGCCCTGCAATCTGTGGCCATCTGGTGTAGTTTGTAATGGCTGTCGTGATTTATTAGCGGTCGGTTAGATGCAGCTCATAAAGAGTTACCAGTGTCTGGTCATTCCTCCTTGCTGCAGCATTCATAGTAGTAAGCCATAATAGCAGAGGGTAAGTGGCAGTAGCTGCAGTAATAGCAGTAGTAGCAGCAGTAACAGTAAAGTATCACTGTTAGGAACTACAGTAACAGTAGTAGGAGCAGTGTCAGTAACATTAGTAGTAGCAATAACAGGAATGGGAATATTAGCAGCAGTAGTAGCACTAATAGCAGTAGTGGCTAACAACAACAATAATCGTAAGAGGAGTTCTATCAGAAGGACCCATTAGATAAGCTCCGTTTCTCTGCAGTACTGTTTAGAAACATCGAAACATTCTATTAGATCAGCAATTTTCTCCATTCTACTTTCAGCATGATCTACGTTCTGGTTAGCGCCTAAAGAAGAGGCTCCACGCTGTTAGGAGCATGAGAACAAGGCACAGCATCTGTTGGTGTTCTGCTCGCAAGATGTTTCCTACTTTCCCTTTGAAATAATAAATTTAGTTGTCCTGCCAGGGAGAAATACAGGCTCTGAGTTTGCGTTTAGAGGAAACTCGATTTGCACGATAATTTTTATTCTGGTCATCGTACAAGCCATTCTTCTTGCATAGCCAGTGTGTCATCATTTGAGCTCTATCATACTTGATTAACGGTAAGTGTTTGAGTGTAGGTTTGTGTGAACATCACGTGTGAGCAGCAAATGTAAAACCAAATCTAGCGATCACCTTTGCATGTTTATTCCTCCGACGTGCTTTATTAAAATTAAGCACAAGAATAATGCTACCCAGCTTTCAGCATTATTGTATACTAAACCAAGAATAGAAAAGCATCAATGAACTTATGTGGTAACAATAATTCTTCTGTAGTATTGGAAGAAAAGCTATATGGAAACGACCGTCCATTATAATTTAATTACTCCAGTTATCACACAGCTTGATGACAACGCTGTTAGTTAGTGCCAGTAAATGCAATAGAAATGCAAGTTGGGCTATTAAATTATTGTCTTTGAGCAGCTTTTATGTAGAACTCTTGAACTGCTGTACTAGGTAAATAGCAGTAGCCTTAGAAGTTGATTCATGAATTTATGTCGATGGTATTTTCTTTGCATGCTAATCTTGAAACGTATTTTATACAATAATATTACATGTCACTGTATCTATCACGTGTCTACATTTCGATTTCTTGGTACAATATAGCAAGATTCATATACAGAAGTTGGTTTAAAGAAATAATACATTTCTTTCTTTCTTTCTTGCCCTAAAATGAAAATATTAAATATTTAAATAAACAGCAGAAATCTATATTAGAATGGTAACTTTACGTAATAACAATATCCGTTTTAATCATTGTTGAACAATCTTAATCATTGACTACCAGTGTAATACTGGCTACAGCCACTTTTGTTATGTAATCAATACAAACTAGCTATTACCCGTCTCCAGCCGGGTTTGAGTGGGGTCTGATTTGAGGATGGCGGTTTAACCATTTATCTCTCACTTTTAGTTGAGGATGTATTTACAGTAAATATTGATATGTAGACTTGAGTCATATATCAATATTTGTTTAAAAAAATTGTATCTAAATATATATAAAAACTGAAATTTTACCTTAAAATTACATACAATTTTCCAAATAAAGGGAAATGGGAAAGGGAAATAAATCTCTCTCGCAAGACTCACCAGATTTCATCTCCAGACGTCTACCATTCAAAAATTTTCAGGGGGGCATGCCCCCAGACCCCCCTAGCATGCAGCGCGCCTACGGCGCTTGCTTTTTATTATCACTGAGGATTTTGTCCTTCTGTGCTTCTACTTTCTTAAGACCTGTGGGCGCCAGTGCATTGCACTGTGTGATATGTGTTGATTGACAAATGCTGGATGTACAGGAAATACCAGAAATCAAGTAAGTCATGTTTAGAAAAAAATTTAAGTTTTATTTTTAGATTTAGTATATCGCTGTAGGAAACAACCATTATGAACACTTACTATATTATAACAGCTAACACATAAACAGAAGTAACACTATAAGAAACAAACTTCTGTTACAAAACTTATTAAACGGTGGAGGTGGGAGTGCAAGCACTGACCTCACCTGCTGAAATCAGTTTAATATTCTGGTCCCCGGTAGGGGACGTATCAGATATTAAGCTGATAAGAACAGATTTCTGTTTGGGTAAGATTTTATTGAATGAACAATAATACACGTATGGCAGTTGTACAAAAATAAAAAATGAAATAAAATAATAAAATATGTTTAACTTTAAACAATAGACGTATTCTTAGATCACAGCAAGTTAAAAATCACTGTCCAGGGCAGCAGCGACAATCTTGGTCGTGCCCTGAATGGCTAGTAGACTGGACTTCTTCCGGAAGGTTGCTCAGGCTTTAGGGGGGATGTTGAGGTAGCCCGAGATGTTGTCATTGGCCTCTCTCCATATGTTCCGGTCGTTCCAACGATGAGAGGGAGGACATTGCCGACATCTTCATATTTTCCTTTCTTTTCGGTGTGGGCACGCTCCATGTTGCTCGGCTCATTGAACACCACCGCGACGTCAATGATATGGTGAGTCCGTCGGGGGTGTCTAGTTGTATGTCAGGGATGAGCCGGCTGCCGGGGGCTGCAGTCTCCACTCGGGGGTTAAGTCCAGCTGCATCGAGCGTGTCGACTACCGCCAACTTGACTGAGTCGTGGCGCTCAGTAATGAGCGGGAATGATGATCGGCAGCCCGAGATGACGTGGGCTGTCGTTTCCAGCTCGGTAAGGCAGCGTCGGCAGGACTTGTCACTCAGAGTTGACCACGAGCTACCGCGCACTGGGAGGAGGCTGAGGCGCGATCGATATAGGTGGCGCCAGTCCTCAAAAGACAAAGGTGTCCAGCAGGAGACCAGGTGGGACACCTCCTTCGGGTGGGGGTCCAGTGCGAGGCCACTCGCCACACGACCTTGGACAGGAAGGTCGGTAAACTTTGCTGTCCATCGTTGGTAGGCGGCGAGGCGGAGGGAGCGGACCGTTTTGGCCGACACTGCAGAGACGTCTTCGGCGAGAAGAAGCATATGATTGTCGCCGGATACATCTAATCTGCAGTGCAGCCTGGCGGCCGCGTGTCGTGCTCTCGTCCAGATGTTCGCGCCCCCGACAGCATGTCTGATCCTATAGAGACCTTCAGCGGTTGACCCCGACAGGAATTCCGAGAGGGGGAGGGGGTCCGGGGCATCTTCTCCTAGCGCTCTGGACACTGTCTTCTCCAGCTGTGCCCGGGCAATCTCTCTGACGTCTGGGTCGGACGAGTCCAGCAGCTGGGCAGCCCGAGCCACGGTCCAGACATCAGCCTCCTGTGAGAGAGGGAGGATGCCTAAACCGCCGGCTCTGCGCTCTGCGTGGAGGAAGGCCTGCGATGAAGAGTCTGGAGTCCTCGTCACCGTGCGCAGGAAGGCTCTGATGTTCGTGTCCATGTCCTGTAGGAACGCCTTCTCCGTCCGTCCAGATGCCAGAGAGTGTGATAGAGAGGGGAGGAGGTGGCTGCGGAGGACCTCCATCTTTTGCCAGGGTGCCAACAGCGAGTCCTGTATCTTGGTGAGCCTTTCCGGAAGTGTTCGCGCAGGCCGGAACAGGAGTTTGCACCCTATGGGGATGCCTAAATAGGTTTCCTGTTCCCCCTGGCGAAGGCAACGGATGGGGACCCCGTAGAGCTTCAGGGCCCCATCATCCGTCTTCTGCTTCCCCTTCTCCAAGACGAGGGAGGCGCATTTCACTGGGTTAAAGCGGAGGCCGAGTGTGGTTGCGGCCTGCGACACTCTATCCAGGGAGGTCTGCTGATCTTCCACTGAGCTCCCCAGCAGGGTGGAGTCATCGGCGTATGTGGTTGTGCGTAGGGTGCGTCCCATGAGCTGGAAGCCAGGTGCCGAGGGGTCCTTGGCCGCACGCAGGAGAGGCTCTGTTGCCAGGTTGAAGACGACGGGTGACAGGCCGTCGCCCTGCCGAACACCCGCGGTCGGTCGCATCCTGAAGGAGTCGTCGCCCGCCAGAAAGTTGCAGACCGAGTCCGTATATACGTCCAGGAGGACACGTCTCAGGTCTGCTGGAATCGGCAGGCTCTCGAAAAGATGGTGCAGTACTACCTCGGGGATTGAACCAAAAGCGTTCGACAGGTCTAGCCACGTGATGGCAAGGTCCCGTCTGTCTCGCCTGGCATCCTCGATGGCCGACTGTAGCAGATGTGTGTGCTCTTGGATGCTCCGGACGCCCGGAAGGAAGCCCTTCTGCTCTGGGGAGATCCAGCCTAGCTCGACCGCGACTCGCGTCAAGCGTGAGGCCAGAACTCCGGAGAAGAGCTTGTAGATGGTGGTGAGCAGGCTGATCGGTCGGAAGTTAGCCAGATCGTCTGTTGGCCCCTTCTTATGTACGTGGATCGTTCTGCTCACCTTCCAGGCGGCCGGGATCCCTAGACGGTGGACGGCACTCAGGATCTTCTCCATGAGGATACCTTGCCCGTCCACTGCGCGGAGGTGCCTATACTCCAGGCGGTCTGCTCCCGGTGCTGTATTGGAGGCCCGCTTCATACGGGCAGCTATTTCTTGGCGGGTCGGCGGTCCACTCAGGAGGTCTAGCTGTTCCCGGGATGGCGCCGTCCAGGCGCACGAGTCGAATGCGCGCCGAGCATGGTCTAGAGCCGCCGGTGACAACGCTGGCCTCTCGTACGTTAAGCAGCGTCGGCAGGACTTGTCACTCAGAGTTGACCACTCTCAGACTTATCAGACTTGTCAGACAGTACATAGTTGAGACTGGGAGGAGGCTGAGGCGCGACCGATATAGGTGGCGCCAGTCCTCAATCACTATAAAGGGCCGGACACACTAGGCGATTAAATCGGTCGACTAAATCGGGCGACTAAATCGCCCGATTCTATCGCGCGAGTCGAGTGGACACACTAGGCGGGGGGTAATCGGGCGATTAAATCGCCGGTGAATAAGTCGTGCATGCATGTGCACGTAGACGTGCGTGCGTGCGTGCGTGCGTGTGCACGTACACTGATTAAATCGGGTGACAAAATCGCTTAGATCAAAACGTTTTGATATTATTGGGCGATTTTGTCGCATTGCCCGATTGTACAATTCATCAGCCAATCAGAGTTGTTCAATGATACTGATGTAATAGCAATGTTTCATGTTTAGTATGTCATGTCATGTAATAGCGATGCACGCACGCACACACGCACGCACGCACGAACGTGTACCTGCGCACGCACGCACGTACGCACGCACGCATGCACGCAGGTGAACGTGCACACGCACGCAGGCACGTACGTACGCACACATGCACGCAGGTAAACGTGCACACGCACGCACGCACACACGCACACATGCAGGCACGGACGTGTACGTTCACACGCACGCGTGTACGCACGTGTAAGTGCACATGCACGCACGCACGCACGTGTACGTACGCACGCACGCACGTGTACGTGCACACGCACACATGCACGCACGCACGCACGCACGTATACGTGCACACGCACACACACACGCACTCATGCACGCACGTTTACACACGCACACATGAATGCACGCACCTAGTGTATCCAGACCTTAAGAAACAAAGTTCTGTTACAAAACCTATTAAAGCAACATGTCTTTTGATTATGTTTTTCTCCCCAAGGGGAGTGGGCCGATTCTGGAGGTACTGCAATACCAGACCAACCCGTGGAGGTGGGAGTGCAAGCACTGACCTCACCTCCCAATGCCAAAAATCAGTTTAATATTCTGGTCCCCGGTAGGGGACGTATCAGATATTAAGCTGATAAGAACAGATACTACACTTTGATCTTAGCCAAAAGGCCGAGAAGCGATACCTAACACTAATTAAACATTTCCAAAAATACCACGACACTCAGGTAACAGTCTGTGGTGACAAACTCCTCTGGTTCGTTTTACAAGATTTAATTAAAGTCTTATTGACAATAATTATCTTCATCATCCTGCCGATAAAACGTCTATGGTATAGTAAAGTTATACAAAACATGCCGGAACGTTGCATAACCAATTTAATGCCATCGCTAACAAAACTAAAAGGTGGGCACATGTTTCTATGAAACAGAGTATTCGCGTGACGTCAGTGTGGTTAAGGTTTTTGCATCATTCCTTGATATACGAAAAGTCTGATGCGGAAGTTGATGATATGCGTAGTATGGAATATGACCATGTTGAACCACCAGCACCATCAACGCAGTATGCATTCAACTCACTAATCTCTACTATAGTTAGTATAGTAGAGATCAGTGATTCAACTTCTGAGATACAGTAAAAACCCGCGNGTACTGTACTTTAGTAGTACTGTACTTTGGTAGTACTGTACTTTGGTAGTACTGTACTTTAGTAGTACTGTACTTTGGTAGTACTGTACTTTGGTAGTACTGTACTTTATAGACTGTAGTTTGTCTACACTGTAGTCTGTAGTCACCAGCCTGTCTTCTTTCCAGGAAGCAAGATGTCTTGATGGCCTCCGGTGTGAACAGCAAATGACAATGACTCAGTGAAGAAAAGAAAATTTCAACTTACATAATGCTGTCTGTAGAACCAGTAGAGCCAGGGTGGATCCTTCCAGTGTGATTCATGGTTTGAACTACCACTATACTACACTTTGATCTTAGCCAAAAGGCCGAGAAGCGATAGCTAACACTGATTAAACATTTCCAAAAATACCACGACACTCAGGTAACAGTCTGTGGTGTCAAACTCCTCTTATTGACAATAATTATCTAAATTGCAAAATTGCAAAATTGCAAAATTTCTATTTTCTTATCATCCTGCCGATAAAACGTCCATAGTAAAGTTATACAAAACATGTCGGAACGCTGCATAGCCAATTTATTGCCACGCTAACAAAACTAAAAGGTGGGCATATGTTTCCATGAAACAGAGTATCCGCGTGACGTCAGTGTGGTTAGGGTTTTTGCATTTTTTATTTTTTATTTATTTATTTCGATAATTAACAAAGCATACATTACATCGATAACAGCATAAATAAAACAAAAATGCAGCTAGAAAATTATCGAGGATGAAAACACAAAAAGCGTGGCTAACACACTTATTTCCATTGTGGTCCAACATAACATTGTACATTCTATAAACTATAGCAAATATACCCACGATCCTTCCTTGCATCATTCCTTGAAAGTCCGGAAAGTCCGGAAAGTCTGCTGATGCGGAAGTTAATATGCGTAGTATGGAATATGACCATGTGCAACCACCAGCACCATCAGCAGGCTGTATGCATTAAACTTCGGAGATAGCCGAGTTCGTGCGTGACGTGTACTGATGTCACGCGGATACTCTGTTTCATGGAAACATGTGCCGACCAAACTAAAAGCGTGTATAGCGCCATCTACCGTCACAAATTGTGATACATAATATACTATTATTAGACTATAGGCCGTACACTACAAATGCATTCAAATATTGACTTTTGTGGTCCCCTCCTTGGCAGAACATGAAACATTGTTTAAAGTGTAGCTAATATGATGCCAATCACTATTCCAACTTATCCCACTCGCGCAACATGCACACTTACCCACAATTCTTGCTCATATCAGGAGTGTATAATATAAAAACTTCTTGCTATTACCCGTCCTCCAGCCGGGTTTGCATGAGTGGGGTCTGATTTGAGGATGACGGTTTAACCATTTATCTCTCACTTTTAGTTGAGGATGTATTTACAGTAAATACTGATATGTAGACTCGATCGAGTCATATATCAATATTTGTTTAAAAAAATTGTATCTAAATATATATAAAATCTAAAATTTTAAGTTAAAATTACATACAATTTTTCCAAAAAAGAGAAATGGGGTGATTTCATAGTACAATTTCACTTATATAGATATTATTTTTGAAAATATTCTGGTACGAAGCATCATTAATAAGACAAATTCTTTAAAAAAAGCAAAATGCATTGAGTAGTTTTGAAGATATATGTTCTTGCAAGTCAGTGGACGGCGGCGGGCAGGGTTACACCTCCCGTTGTCAAATATTTGCACACACGCATCACACACACGCGCGCACGCACGCACACACCGCATTCACACACACACGGGCATGCGCAGGCATAGCTCTAGTACTATAGCCCGCTTACATTGACTGCCGCTGGCACAATCACACGCGCACCCACGCACACACATACCAATTTACACACACACATACACGCACATGCACACGCACATGCACACGCACACACACGCATACATACATACCCCCGCACGCACACGAAATTTCACTATCAGAAACACCTGGGATTGTGACAATAACACAGTATTTTCAATGGCTCCGTGGGCGCAGTCATGTTGGAGTCCTTAGCAACAACATATGTACAAACATAGCGTAGTACGGCTCTTTCGATTGGATTATTTACTTCGCTCTTACCGCATGCGTTGCAACGCGGGACCTAATTGGACAATTCTCCGTCATTTTACTACGCGTTGTCGGTGAATATTATAATAAGCTGAATTTCCTAATTTTCCCGCAAAATTACTAAAAACCTTGCATGCGGGCCTCAGACGTGGGATAAGATGAAAATCGTTGTTTCATATTTTCCCCTTTATTTACAAAAGATGTTCTGCCGGGGAGGGAATCACAAGATTGAAAGAATTACGGACAGGACGGCCTATAGTCTAATACGCGCGCACGCACGCACACACCGCATTCACACACATACGGCCATGCGCACGCACAATCACACGCGCACCCACGCACACACATACCACATTTACACACACACGGGCGCGCACACACATACACGCACACGCACACGCGCATGCACACGCCCGCACACGCATACATACTGACTCCGGGATGAGATTTTTCGGCGGATCCGCGGAAATCGGCGGATTTGACAGTCGCAGGGGTTAATTTTGTGAAACGTGAAATTCGTTGAGAAAATTGGGGGGGGGGTAAGAATGTAAAAATTGAAATTATACCTTGAACAGTACCTGACAGTAGACTGCCAGCGAAGTCAACAGCGGGTGTTACAGATAGCCAGCGTGTACCGCGCCTGCCGCTAGTGCGTACGATGTAAGTCCGTCATGGCAAGCAGCGGTGCCGATTGATGTACGCGGGCGATCGATTGTTTCATGTCTATGGCGCGAAGCGATGTCGTGTGTGGAGCATGTTTATGACTGCGTAGGAGTGACGGGCGCCTGGGAGAGGCTGGATAGCCAATGTTAAATATGCAGCGACTAACGTAAACCTGTTGCACGCTTACACTAATATTTATATATATATATCAGGAGTAGAGGTTAGGGAGGGATAATTCCCTATTATCTACTCCTGATATATATATATATATATATATATATATATATATATATATATATATCCCCTGAATGACGCTAGCAACAGGTTTACGTTAGTCGCTGCATATAACATTGGAGTAATCATTCTGACTGATGATACGGTACGTGTGTTACATGGTGCGGTTCCGATGATACGGTGTGTTACATGGTGCGGTTCCGATGATACGGTGTGTTACATGGTGCGGTTCCGATGATACGGTGTGTTACATGGTGCGGTTCCGATGATACGGTGTGTTACATGGTGCGGTTCCGATGATACGGTGTGTTACATGGTGCGGTTCCGATGATACGGAGTGTCAGACTGATGTCTGATTCAGAATGATTACTCCAAGATATAACGTAAATATCAGTTGACGTACGTGCTGGGCTTTAATTGCCGGGGTAACTTTACATGTGGTTCTCATGCAGAACATCGTAGGAGTGAGTACCTTGCGTATAACACAGAGGGAATTATGATTAACGGTTTTATGTTTTAAGTAGAAGATAAATAAATATATCGATGAGATCATATATTGTAATCATGCTGTCAGAAAAATCGGATTGATGTACCTATATAATTTTTCCCGCCGTATTATTCGAATTACTTAGAAATTGACTGCTCATGGAAATGTCATTAACCCATCCAAATGTATACGATATATGCTACACGGTATGTTGATTAACACTTGATGAGTAGGCCTACTACAATTGATTATGCAGAGCATGCGGAGCGGGTTTAGGGACTCCACACAAAGCATTGTGAGGGGTTCCAGAACATGAGGAATGGGATTCAGGGGTTCCAGAACATGGGGAGGGGGATTCTGGGGTTCCAGAACATGGGGAGGGAGATTCGGGGGTTCCAGGACATGGGGAGGGGGATTAGCGGTTCCATGCAGAGTATGTGGGAGGTGGGTTACGGGTTCTACACAGAGTATGGGGAGATGGTTCAGAGGTCCCACAGAGTACGGGGAGCGGGTCTTAAGGGTTCTAGAAAGGGTATGTGGAGGGAGTTTAGGGGCTCCAAACGGTATGAAAAGGGTGGTTCAGGGATAGTATTATAGATTATGATAGTATTTATATTCTGTGTGTAATTTTGGAGTCTGTGGAGTCTCTGTTGGTCTCTTTTGGAACGGAAGAAAATTTATATATAGACATTGATATAAAAATCGATCACGTTTAGCACATGAGATATAAGGAGTAGTGGCTTTTATATAGCTGCCATGTTTAATATCAAAGATCACCACCAGAGCTGGTTTGACTCAAATAGTTACATAACTTTTTTGATTCAGATGTAAACGTTTCCGAAATTCTACAATCCTACAAAATATTTTAATGAAACATTTAATAATTCGGACACAGTAGACATGACTAACATTTTCAATGGTTATCAACGTATTTTTAATAATAATATATAATCAAAATTAGTGGACAATAACAACCTTTATAAACCTTCAATTAACAAATACTTTCACTACTTTCACAATAGAACTTTCGCAATATATCAATATCAGCATTTGAACTGTCAACGCTGTATAGCAACTGTTTTGAACTAAGGTTCATGGTGCAGTCATCATTTATAGAAACTGGTGGTTGTTTTATGACATGGTTTTGATAGAAATAGTGAACAGGTACTTTCTATAGTTATGTAGGTGTAAACCTTTACAAAATATGAATTGATAAAGTACGAAAATCGAATTGGTGGTGCATGCTGGGACTAGAAACGTTGACAAGGTACGCACCAACTACTAGCATGAACATATGTATACTAGTATACATATGTTCATTCTACTACTTTCACCAATCACCATTGATTATGCAATGTGGGGGCAAATACGTTTTATCATAGTTTAAAGACTTACAATAGTTGCACACTTTTATTTTCTACACTTACTTCCCTTGCCTAAATTTTATAAAATTATTTACAGTGGGCAAATACATGCATCAGACCGTGACACAAATCAGCCTAGTTCGTTGAATTGTAAATCAATAACTGTATATTATACTCTCAAAACCTAACTGTGCGGTACGACAATTTGCATTCATGATGGAAATAGTGTACGAACGAAACCACTGATGCAGTTTCTTTGGTCACTTTAACCTTCGTGTGATTCACCCATCCAGCTGTCACCAGCCAGATAATACAAATCAGTTGCATATTATAAGTTGACACCAAACGCACTCTATCTTCAGCATAAGTTATCGATAGCAGATCATATTTTAACATACGTCAGGTTCTTCAGCAAATATTGTTACATAAAGAAGACATACCAGAGCGTGCAAGAAATTAACCCCATTAAAATTCCAATGGTGTCGAAAGAGGTGCAAATATACAAAATTATCTAAAAATGTAGTCAATATTTAATGATCTAATTTCACAATTTCATGATTTGGCAAAAAATAAACAATCATACAGAGACACCAGTTCGCGTTTGAGAGGGTCTTAGAGAGATTACTCGCAACGATCTGGAAATGCTTTAAAACAAGCAGCTAGGCTGGTAATGAGAAAGGCTATCACTTTCCTATAGGAACCATACTTTTCTTCATCTCTTAATTGGCATTACCAGTCAATGGTTCCCTTGCAGTTATTTACAGTAGGATTAATTAAAGAATGCTGCAACGGGCAACATCTCTATTATTTAAGTTACCAAATGTTTTTTTGTCCAAATTCATCCCGTAGCAGACATTAAATTATCGCAATCTGGCTGCAGTTATGTAGACACTACCGCACACCGGTCACTGATGCAACTAGGAACATTAAACGCCTACATCAGGCCCATATCATTGATGTTTACCTGCAGTGTAGTGCCCACTGACCTATGATTTAAAATAAATAACTTGAATATTTCAAGTCTATCAGAATATATCAGGGCAGCCTGACCAATCCCTGTCCCAGTAGCATCTCTCTGTGGGCAGCCAATCTGGGACACCAGTGTGTGGGTTGGGTCCTTCTTTAAACCATCTGCAAAAGGATAACATCTTCTCATAATAAATCAAATACAAAAGCTCCCTTACTTGTGACACCTATTTTGTATGTGAGGCTCATAGGCCCTACACAGATGCACAATGTAACACATACTTAGATGATATGACTTGTAACCCAGTCCTGCGGCCACACCATTATTACAACAACCCCACAACTGTTTAGCCTACACACAAAATCATTTCAATTAAATGTGCACGAGGTAAGTGCCCGATTGTACCGAACATATAGATTTTAACAATATTCCAACCTGGTTTAGTTTGCTAATCGGAAAATAACTAACTCGGCTAGGCTCAATTATTATCACTTACTGTGCATACGAGACAACGTAGCTTTAGCTAAAGAGCACAGATTACCTAGTTGCTGATTTACTCATAAATTGGAAGGATGTATCATACCTATTGCACCAAACTTCCTTATTACTATGCATAAGCTTTCTTGTTGCTCTTTGTTTTTCCTCCAAAATCAATTTATTATCAGCAGCGCCATCTGAAACAAAATTAATTTGATTAGTTTGAAATTCGAATTACATGCTTTTGTTTCCTAACAGTTGTTTTTACTTTTTCCCTTAGTAAGATTATACTAATTAGGCTATGAAAATACTAGACCTGTTCATTTTAGGCATGGGTATAGCTTAGCACAATGCTTCTTAAACTGGTAAATGGTTCACCCAACGGTAAATGAAGTTATTTTGCGGTGAATGAAACTAGACCAAAAACGAAAGGAAATTTAATCGCAGGTGAATGAAATTTCGTGATAAAGACTCAAGGGTGAACAACACTGAAATAGTTTAAGAAGCACTGGCTTAAAAAATATTATTGCAAACTGAAAGACAACTATTGAGAAGACAAGCAAAAGTGATCGTGCGTAGGACTTGCAACGCACCGATGTCATTGGTATAACTTTGGTATGACATGGGTATAACTTAAAGAACATGATTGCAAACTGAAAGACAACTATTGAGAAGACAAGCAAAAGTGAGCGTGCATAGGACATGCGATGCACCGAAGTCATTGGCATATAACTTTGGTATGTCATTGGTATAACTTGGGTATGTCATTGGTATAACTTTGGTATGTCATTGGTATGACATGGGTATAACTTAAAGAACCTGATTGCAAACTGAAAAACAACTATTGAGAAGACAAGCAAAAGTGAGCGTGCGTAGAACAAGCAAAAGTGAATGCGCATAGGACAAGCAAAAGGGAGCGTGCGTAGAATAAGCAAAAGGGAGTGTGCGCGGGACAAGCAGATGGGAGCGTGCGTAGAATAAGCAAAAGGGAGCGTGCGCGGGACAAGCAGAAGTGAGCGTGCGTAGAATAAGCAAAAGGGAGCGTGCGCGGGACAAGCAAAAGAGAGCATGCATAGAACCAGCAAAAGTGAATGCGCGTAGGACAAGCAAAAGGGAGCGTGCACGGGATAAGCAGATGGGAGCGTGCGTAGAATAAGCAAAAGGGAGCGTGCGCGGGACATGTAACGCACCGATGTCACCGTGCTCGAGTCGGCGTACGTCGTCGCGTAGCCGCGAGTCTGTCTGTGGAAGCTTCGCCCTCATCTCGTCCGTGAACTCATTCAGCGTCAGAGCAAACTCACTGAACAGATAAGCCTGCAATAGAAACCAGCAATGCGTTTCTGTCAACGCTATTCTCGTAACGTCAACATTAACATTAAGTGCTGTTGTCGCATTATCATTAGCATTAACTTTACGATGTTTCTGATAATGGCCATTAGGTTAAGCAGAAAACAAATTCAATTGGATCAAGCCAAACCATTATTTTTATACGGCGTGTGTGTCAACCACTGACAGTTGGGGGGTTGGCCTGTTACTAGCTATGGTATGCTACAGCAGTTGGTCTGCACTGGGTCTTTCCTATCCAAGCACACTTTAGCAGGGATAAGACTTGCACCAACTGCAAACTACATTCCCTGCTGAAACATGCAAAGTGACTGTACAATGAAGCTCTGTTGCAGGCCAGGCATTCCCTCTAGTACTCTATGGACATTCAACTCTACTCACGATGACTCAATTTTTCATGTAGAAAGCATAAATCTTATCTAATGTAATAATAGAACATGAACTGTGTGTGCTAAGTGGCAAATCAGAAACAGTATACAGATGTCAATATTTTCATCACTTAGTGTCATGCAAATCCATTAATCAACTAATCCGAAGAACAGATGTTTGATACTTATATCACAATTCTACATGAATATCGAACCAAAATCTACGATAAGAAACTAGCAATTTTAGGTACCGCATGATATTTTCGCAAAACAATTCGTGTAGATCAATATTTACCTGCTCTGCATTTGGAGGCAGTGGATCCCGTCTCCATAGCAACTTTGCATTGGGGCACTGTGGAATGTCGGCTATCTGGCTATCTGACTCATCACTATATTTCGAGTGCTAGAGCGTAAAGGAAATACGTGGAAATTATTAAAAACAGAAATTTGACTAACCTACATGATAACTTGGAGGCAGCATCACATGTGGCAGCATGACTTTTTTACGGATTAAATAAATATGAAAGTAATGCAAAAGTTGACATATGATGTATGATGTAAAGCCATGAGTTTTATAGTAAATCATCAATCAGTTCATAATTTAATAATTTTGTTTAAATATATATATATATATATATATATATATACATATTAAGTTTTCATGGAGGATTACGGGCAAACGTGACTTTTAACACGAATAACGAATACATACTCGATGAGAATCTTTCTTCTTCGAATTATAAGATTCGTATGTTTTCACATCGGCACTGTACAGCGCACTCGTCCACTTGCCAAAGAGTGCAACCCTCTTTTCTTTTCTGCAAAGCAAACATACTTATCTATCAGTATTATACGAAGCACCGGGCCGTTGTAGTTTACGCTGGTCGGTGCCGGTCGGTAATAGCCGGCTCTGGTGTTGGCCAACCAGCACGCAGCTTTAAATAACATCCTTCTGACCGGCACAAAAATGACCAGGTTTGTGTAAAATTACCTTCAAAATAGTGAGCAATGTACAAATAATTACAACTGATACACTTAGATTGAATTTAAAATACAACTCTGAGTTTAATCTCAACAATAATTATGCGTAATATCGTCATCTGATCACATCGTACAGCGCACAGTACATGCAGTGTGGCTGGCTAAGCACCATGTTGCTATTATAATAATTTATGCATATGACACAATCACTGATATTAGCCGGCACTAAAATTGTCCTGGCTACAACCCTGATACCAACTATAATATGAATGACATACTTGTATTCGCAGAGATTTCCCAAGCATGCTACTTACTGATGACAATAATATAAATGAGGATGATATGATGACAAAAATAATAATAAAAATGTTGTGCTAATAATGAATATTGTGGTATGCACATTGAAGACAGAAGGGAAACACCGAAAACACACCGTTAGAAGTAACTAGGCGTAGCTGAGACGACTGCAACTTTCCAATCTAATTAAGGACCACGACTTCCTCTCGCTTCTGCTATTCTAAGTTCGTTTTCATTGCCAATGCAGCTGCCGCTTGAACTCTACTTCACCCGTGCTTCCCAAGTTTAGCAATTAGCTCTACCGCGTAGAGTCTACGCGATGCAGTGAATCCCCACTGCTCATTGTAGCTCAGCTATAGGCAGATATTGATCGGCCATTCTCGCCACTACAGATACACGCGATGGCGGCACTACGCACGCACGCACGCAGCTCAGACAACAGCTACTACTTCACTCAAATCTATGCTAAACCACACGCTTTTTTCTCCGAAAACCTCCAAACATTCTATTGATTATAAATTTTTTTATGGCGTATTGATCATGGGTGGCTTCCGATGGCTTGTTAAAATGTCTAACAGGCACCGACAGCCCACAGGCAACCCGCGGTTAGCTCATAAACAGCACGCAAGTAGTCCACATTTAGGCTGGGAGCGTCTATGTCCCCCAGGGTACTGCCGGAACTTAACCTGGTACCAGAGCATAATAATAAATCAACGTGATTTATATGCTCTGCTGGTACTATCTAATATGCCGGACCGTACCTCGCCTACTCCACTAACGAGTCTAGAGAGTCGCCTACGCTTACTCCCTAACCCTAACCATATATCAGATAGTTACCAGGGTACGTTCCGGCAGTACCCTGGGGTACATAGACCCTATGAGCCATATAGGCTGTTCATAGAAACAAGTGAGAGGATTTGTTGTAGCTGCAGTCATGGCTTCTTCTAACATGGGCATAGCCGACAGAAATATAGAATATAATATATGGATAAAAATATAGAATGAGCAGTGGAGGTTTTCACAATTTGCTCAGTCGATTTTTTGTAATGTTTAATTTTCTACCTTGCATAGACTAGATTTAATGACATAGCCCTGCAATGAGGGATACAACAAAGCCATCTGTATTCGAGATACGTTATTGTATCTGGGCATGAAATTGCTCAAGGAATGTTATTATTACACATACGTTAATAATAGTGTTTATTTCACATTTCAAAACAAGAGATTGTATCTCAGAACATTTCTGACCCATATAAACTGAACGCCTTCAAAACTCCTACCTC